ATGTAGGAGAGGACAATGGAGGTGAAGCAGGTCAATGCCATCATAGCCATGAAAGCGTCTACTCCAACCACCCCAAGGTAATCATTGGAGCAGGAGAGCTTTATCAACTGGGGGACATCACAGAAAAACTGATGAATTATTTTCACCCTACAGAATGTGATAGAGAATGTGGTTGTTGTGTATAAGATTCCAGAGATGCCTCCACTTAGCCATACAGCTGTCACAGCCCTCTTACACTTAGTAGGATCCATGATGACCTCATAGTGCAGTGGGAAGCAGATGGCTGCATAGCGGTCATAAGACATCACTGTGAGAATGGCCACCTCAGCCCAAGCCAAAGATGTGAAGAAGAAAACCTGGAGCATGCACTGACCATGAGAAATATAGCCATCATTCATCAGAGAATTGTCAATAGACTGAGGGACAGTGACAGAAATGAAGGAGAGGTCCAGAAGGGAAAGATGCTTTAAGAAGTAATACATTGGCGATTGGAGATGTTGGTGCAGAGTGGTGATGATGATAATGATGAGGTTACCTGTCAAGGTTAATACGTACATCACCAAGAACAGGAATGCATGTAAAATCTGTAGCTGACGAATGTCAGTAAACCCCATGAGAAGAAACCCGCTCATTGTGGTTATGTTTATCATAATCATTTTGAAGATACCAGTTGTGGTGGCATCTGGAAGAAAAGAGGATATGGAAAGCGTGATAGAAAAACATTAAACTAAATTCATATTAAGCCCTCATTCATCATTAGTTTTTAAAACAATTTGTTATTAAGTATCAGCTATGTTTTATCAGCTGTGCCCTAGGTTTGAGATCTAAACATGTAGCTTCCAGTATACACTAGTAAATCAGTAGTTATAGTTCAGTCAAATATGTTAAAGTCATTAGTCCTGTAATAGAAAAATAGTTACATTGGCATCACCAAAAAACCCACCATCTTCCATTTTCACTAATGAAACTTGTTGCTTGTCTTAAGTCAACAAGAGTGAAGCAGCACTAGCTGTTGAGTACAGATTTCTGAATGTTGAATGTGTTTCATTTTTGTATAGTGCACTGTCCTATTTTAGCAAAGGAAATGACCCTGTGCAGGAAATATCATATTGGGAAGTCAAAGATGGATTAGATACTTGGAGAGGATAGTCTTTAAAGTCCCTTCCTGCCAAACAATTCTGTGATATGTATAGCCCAAAAAAAAAAAAAAAAACAAATTCAGTGCCATCCAGTCAACTCAACTTATAGTGATACCTCCTTGGGTTTTGAAGGTGGTATCTCTAAGGAAGTAGATTGCCCAATCTTCCTTCTGAGGAGTGGCCGGTGGCTTTGATCCCCAGCCTTCTGATTAGCAGTCAAATGCCTTAAGCACTATGCCACCAGAGCACCCAGGATGGTCCCTGTAATTGTGCAATTAAAGGCCAAATTGTGTAATGTTATTGCCTTTCCAATTAACATTTTATTTCATGGAAATCTCATTGAAATAAAGAGCAAAAACAATTTACAAAGGAAATACTTACATGTTCCTCTCAGATTCAGTGGCAAATCTAATATCTTGGAGTATTTTCTAGTACATAGCTTAACTTCTCTTTGTATCTTCATTCCATTCACCTTCTCTTCTCATTATTTACAATATCAAAAGAGAATCTCAAGAGGAATAAAGATATAAATGTTTCTGAGAAGAGAGAAATCAAGTTTTGGGATCATTTTCCACTGCTTTGGACTTCATGGGAGGGAAATACCCAAGATCTCTCCCTTCAGTAACATAAGCAAAACTAAACCCACTTGCTCATAGCAACCATATAGGATGGAGTACAAGGGCCCCACGGTGTTTCCTAGGCTGTAAACCTTTATAGAAGCACATTATGTCATTTTTCTCCTGCTGAACAGCTAGTAGGTTATAACTGCTGGCCTTTGCTTAGCAGCCAAAGGATCACCACAACTCCTTCACTTTGTAACAACTTCCTCATAGTCCTTGATTTTTTTTTTCCCCCTTCCAACTACCAGTTCTAAGGAACAATTGGAAAAATTGCTGTATCAAAGTCTCTTTTGATTTTACTGAGCCCGGTGGCATCTTACCAAATGTTTTTTGTATCTTCGTAACTCATCTTTTTAGAAACGATAACTGTGAAAATCCTAAATTTTGAGGCCAACATTCCTTACCATCTTGAGAGAGGATTTTTTTTGGTCAATTCAATAGATTTCTCACTTGTTTTATTTTTCTTATGTCTGATGTTGGTCAGTATTTCCTGCTGACATCCAGACTTATTCTGAATCTCACACTTCTCTTCCCTAAAGAATGATATTAGCACCTAACATTTCTACATCTTACTGTCTGACATTGGTCAGTGGTTTAAGATTTACTGTAAAAATGGATATTAAATGTTGAAAATGTTTAGTTGCCAAATGTAAAATTCTCTTCTCTTATTCTATGAAAATGAAATATAAGGTTAATCTATCTAGAATTCCTCCAACTTTATCCATTTTTATCAAACCTCATGCTAGATAATAGAAAACAGAAGGAATTAGAGAGCAATTGCAGCAACTGTGTTGAAGTAATTTTATGTTGCTTCAAAAATAATTTCTTTCTTTCCATGTTCTTGTAAAAATGGCATGGCTGCTATATTGTCATCTAACCTCTTCTAACTTCACAAGTACTTAAAATTGCCCAGAGGCACCACTCCGGCAGCAAATTTCCTGCCTGAAGGCATTTGCTTTCTCACTCTGTGGGTCTAGACGCCCAGGTTATTGTCACTGGTTGTCCTGCCTCTGCTGAATCTGCTGCTCATTTTCTCTGGTTTAACCGCTTTGTGTCTCCTAGGTCAAGGGAGTTACCAGCACAGGGACAATGGCTCTAAAGGCCACACTTCCCTCCTGTCTCTTCTTTGTGGTAGTTAGAATCCCTCTTTCTGCCTCTGGGATGGTATGTTTTAAGCCTAGCAGGATAGCAACATTAACCAATCCCCACATTAACGCACTGCCGTGGAGCCAGATCCGACTCATAGCGACCTCTCCTTGGGTTTCCAAGGCGGTATCTCTATGGAAGTAGATTTCCCAACCTCCCTTCTGAGGAGTGGCTGGTGGGTTTGAACCGTCAGCTCTCTGGTTAGCCATCAACTTTATTTCGCTGGTCCCACCCCTACAGGGTTGCCATGCACTTCATTTACATTATTAGCAAGCTAGTCAATCACCTTGTTGGGCCACAAGCACCTCATACTTAGTCATATGGTGAGAGCTTTGTTGTTGTTACGTGTTGTTGAGTCAGCCCCGACTCATAGCAACACAGTATCACTACGGAAGTAGATTGCCCAACCTTCCTTCAGAGGAGTGGCTGGTGGGTTTGAACCACAAGCCTTCTGGTTAGCAGTTAAGTGCCTTAGGCACTATGCTACCAGAACTCATGTAGTCCTTGTTGTTGTTGTTATGTGCCATCGAGTCGACCCCGACTCAAAGCGACCCCTCCTTGGGTTTCCGAGGCAGTATCACTACAGAAGTAGATTGCCCAACCTTCCTTCCAAGGAGTGGTTGATGGGTTTGAACCACCAGCCTTCTGGTTAGCAGTCAAATGCCTTAGGCTCTATGCTACCAGACGTGAGAGCTAGGAAGACAATAGCTAGAAGGCCCATGTTAAGTACTTCACGGCACCTCAGTTCTGTGTTTCATACTCATTTTTCTTGAACTGGTAAGTTGATAAACAGCATTACTGTCTGTACTTAATTTTCACTTTGGTTCATTAAATATTTTAATTTGCCAATTTAAAATTATCTTCCAACCAAAAAAATACAAAACAAAACTCACTGCGATTGAGTCAATTCTGCCTCATTGTCACCTCCATAGAGTTTCAAAGATTGTAATCTTTATGGAAGCAAATTGTCTCCTCTTTCTTTCACAGAGTGGCTGGTGGGTTCAAACTAGTACATTTTGGTTAGCAATCAAATGCTTAACCACTGCACCACAAGAGCTTCTTTATCTCCCAACAGGGAAGTAAAATTATAAACATTTTTATGTGTTTAATTTTATGGGAAAGACATCATGCTAGAAAGCATCATTAAATAAATTTTATTTCATTCACATGGACATTATCTTCTAGGAACTAAGCTCTATTTTTATAGAAAAAAAAAAATAAGACTTGGAGTACTTAAGTTATGTAACTGAGCTCTGAACCCCAAATAGCTGGCCTTTCTAATTCATAGGCTACATTATACCTAAAAATCTCTGAATATTATTAAGAGGCACACAGAAGCATTGGAGCAAAGCACAATTACAAAAAAATCATATCCATCACAGGATCTGTCTTTCATAGTGTTATAAGGAATTATTGGAAGATATGTTTAACAATTATTTTACTGAATATTTATATGAACACATACAATTTTAACATTTCTCAAAGAAGTTAAATGACTTAAATGACTCATGACTATAATACATTTATACAAATCTAATATTTGGATTTTGTTAAACTGCTCATTTTGAAGGAATTTAGGGTCTCTTATTGTTAGAATTAAGTTTTGCTTTTTCAAATTCAAATACATCAGATTCTGTCAGAGTTGCCATGAAATATTTCCCTTTTTCCTTATCCAAGGTTGGAAAACTTACCACAGCTCTTTTGGGTATGTAGGTAGCTATCAAATCTGATTACCACCTTCAAACCTTTTTCTCACATGTAACCCTACAGATCTTTTTAAGCATGTTGTTTCCCATGAGAGCCCAGGTTTTACTTTTGCTTTTGCTTCCGGTCATGTTTCATAATGAAAGGCAACTGAATAATAAAGATATTTCATTTTCTCTACTAATCTGGCTTCAAAAAACAATGCAAGTAAAACCCACATTAGAATTTCTATAAAACAATGATGACTAACATTTGTAATATTTAATAATTTTTAAAGATGTAGCCCATTATGAATAGTTCATTTCTCTTTATACACCACCCCAAGCTCATTTCTCTCCTTTTCTATTCCCCCAAGGTTGTAGTGGCACAGTGCTAATGCATTTGACTGCTAACCAGAAGGCTGACAGTTCAAACCCACTAGCCAATCCTCAGAAGAAAGAGTGGGCAATCTACTTCCATAGAGATAGCACTTCAGAAACCCAGTGAGGGGTAACTATGAGTCAGAACCTACTCAACAGCAGTTAGTTTGGCTTTGGTTTGGTTTGTTTCCTCAAAAGGGTACCCACTCTAATATCGCCAAGTTTTTCCTTTCACGTCAAAAACTTTCCCATGTAATGTGAAACTGTTTCCAAAGTAGTTTTAGCAATTCTTACCTTCATCAACTTGGTATAAGAGTTCTAACAGATTTACATACTTACCTAACTTGGTATTGCTATAATAATAAGTGTAAAATACTACCACATTATAGTTTTAATTTGCTTTTTCATTTTGTTAAAAAACGTTTGTTATTTATTCATATGTTTAGTGACCTTTTGAGCTTGTTCATGGTCTACCCACTTTTACTTCAGTCATTTTCTTTCTTACTGATTTGTAGAAATTATTTGTATCTGTATTGCTAAGTACAAAATCTTGTCACTTAAAAGACCAGGAAAAATCCTCCCCTATCCTATAGCTTCATTTTTCACTCAGCATATGGTTTCCTATCATGTGCAGATATTCTAACTGTGATTTGTGAAATTGAGTTAAGTAAGTCTTTTCTTTTTGGGT